AGAGTCGAAAGGGTCAGTGTGTTGAGCGCTTCTTGATATGTGGAGTAGGAAGGGGAGAGAATAATCTTGCATGCCCTCTTTTGCACCTTTTCTAGGTGTTTACGTTGTGTGGCATTTAGGGAGGAAGACCAGGTAGGGGAGGCATAGGTGAGCTTGGGAAGTATGAATGTTGAGTAAACACTGAGGAGCTCGGGTGCAGGAACTCCGAGGGACTTGAGTCGGTGGAGGAGGTGGAGACGGAACTGGAGGATTTGACAACTTCACTGACGTGTGGTTTCCAATTTAGTTTGTTGTCTATGGTGACGCCGAGGAGCTTAGTGGAATCTATAACCTGTAGTGTGTTGGGACCTAAAGTAATGGAAGGGGGCGAGACAATGTCGGAGGAGAGGTATAAGTGCATAACCATGGTCTTGGTATGGTTGATGGCGACGTGGTTGCTGGTGGCCCAGTTTTGGAGACTGTTCAATAAATCCTGAAGGGCGGTATAGTTGGGAGCAGAATTGTTGACTCTCATCCCAATGGTGGAGTCGTCGACATATTTCCAGCGAGCAGGGGTTTTTCTTAGGGCATCATTGATAAGCATAAGGAAGCAGAGTGGTCCCATCTTGGTGCCTTGGGGGACGCCTCAGGTGAGTGACTGAAAGGTGGAGACAGCCCCTCGAAAACGTACAGCTTGGCGTTGGTCACTGAGGAAGTCTGTAAGACATGGTATAAGACCTTTAACACGATCTACCCTTATCCCTTATAGTACACTAGTCCGTATCAATTGGACCTTCCTAATCATCCTATAGATACCTTGAGTTCTCCTTAATGCTATAAGTACATACACTTAATATTATATGTCCGTGCATTGGTACAATTTGTATAAAACAGCATACAATGGGTGAGTTATCCCTTACCAAAGTTTCCCGTTTTCTATCGTTTTCTGAGACTACAAGCACGGTGGATTTGAATGTTATGTAGCGTAATATGAATTAAAGAGATATTAAGTTGACAATGATGTGTGCGGTACACCAGGATATTCATATCAATATCCTTCCCATCTCCTTTTGATGAGAATTCATTCGAATCACACTGCACCGTTACCAGTTCCACTGTGTGTGTTGTTGGGATTCGGCGCAGTGACCTGTCATCCAGCAAGGGTACAACAGGCCATGTACCCTTCACCACCAGTGTACCACAAACTTCTGAATGCAACTGTACATAGAAACATTAGAAACCTTATTCATGGCTTACCTTACACTAGGGGTTCGGTGTTTGTTTTCAATTTTTTTCTATAATTTCCAAACTTTTTTCCAATTGATAGCTGCACTCTTGACTTTCTCCCCCTCACCACTTACTTTGTGAGACTTCTGAGAGACTTTCAGCATGATGGCTAAACACTATAGTTAGTAGACCGAGAGGTAGACTGAGAGGTAGACTGTGAGGTAGACCGAGAGGTAGACTGAGAGGTAGACTGTGAGGTAGACCGAGAGGTAGACCGAGAGGTAGACGCAGAGGTAGACGCAGAGGTAGCAGTGAACAACACATGCAGTGGCGGCAGGACACAGACTGAGCGGATGTAAACAAACCCGACATGCCAAGCGTCCATTTAGTTCAGAATTTAACAGAATCACACTTAATTTAGCAAACTAGTTGGTTAAATAGAGCGAAAATGCTGGAGAGTTCGATTTAGCTGAAATTTTGAATTAACTGAAAGGGGTGGCTCAAATTATTTAATTAAATGAGAAAATACTGTATCACTGGGGCGTTTAGGCATAATTGCATAACACACCAAGTGGGAAATAATAAAAAAACATGAAATCAGAGACACAAGTTATGTGTAAACAAAAGAACAGAGGAGGAAATGGGTTAGAGGCAACATGCAGAGTCCTCTGGTGGCAAGAATTTGCACCATGCCACCGCTCGCCAGATTAAAAAATTCTCTGCTTCTGATCGTCGTATCTCTGGGGTATCAACGAAACTTGCGTGGTATTTCCCCTATATGTAATTGTCAGTTATGCAAATTAGGGATATTTGGGGTGTCGGTTTTTGGGGTATACCTGTACTCGAATGTGGCTTAAGAATAAAGAGAATATAATATAAAGCTGTAATACAGTAAGTTCTCACTTAATATCAGGTTACCTTCCTGAAAATGCGACGGTATATGAAACGTTAAGTGGATAAATTTTCCCCATAAGAAATAGATGAAATATGGGAGTTACGTTGTCCAGCCTCCCTTTACCCATGAAATACATTACATATACTGTATACATAAATTCAAAGCTCCTTGTGTGATGCCTGGTGAGGTACTTGTATGCATAAAGTCACATTCATTGAGATTTTATAAGAGAAAAACTTAAAACTCCTCTACATGACAGATAAATACACACTAGGTAACCTTCTCAAACCTTCCCTGCTGCTGTCATAACAAATCACCTCCCCCTCTGACTTCCGGCAAGATTGAAGGTGGTTTTAGGCCTAAAGATTTTATCTTTATAATATCACAGACTAAAGTTATCAGAATATAAATTACATTGTTGGAATCCTTGCAAGACATTGAATAATATGAATATAAACATCCTATATTTTGCACAAGAGATAAAAACTTTAGTCCCTTCAGTACATTTAAGTACTGTACTGTACAGGTTTTTCAACTTATTTTTGGGGAGATATAGGTAACTTTTTTCATTTATTTTTACTCATTTACGTGCACACACCATCCTAAATACATATTGTCCTTAGGGCAAACCTGTACTGTACTCAAATGCACTAAATAATTACAAAATTTTTTATGTCTAGTGCAAACTATCTCATTTTTATATTCAAATTAATCACTAGCTTACAAGGATTCCAGCAATGTAAGTTGCATTTTGCCAAGTCAATTCTCCTAACCGGTACCATTTACAGGCATTCTTATGGGAAAACAGTGACGACAAAAACGACGTTATATTGAGTCGTTGGGAAGTTAAACGAATTATTGGTATCTAAAGAGTAGCGATGTTGTACCGAAACAACATTAAGCAGGGCGACGTTATACGAGGTCTTATTGTATAAGAAAAATGAGCGCATGGGTGTGTAATATGTGGGAAGAGAATGTGTTGAAGTGGTGGATTACTGGGCCGTAACTGCATGGCCGCGTTCCCTCCTGATGTTATGTCACGTGACGGCATACGCACAGCGCAGAGCGGCAGCCACACATCTGTGAGTCAGCTGGGTGACTGCCTGGCTGAACTGTGTCATGTTGCCCAGAGGATAGTTTGAGTGTGGAAGGAGCTATTTTTGGTACATAAAATAGATACTGTTGTATTTTATGATATGCTGTGTATAAATGTTATTGTTTATCATAGCAATAAATATGGCAGCTCATCCCCGTTGTGCATGGTATTGAAACTTATGATTCTCGCTGATTTTGGAGGAATTTTAATAATTTTTATTATCATTGTTTCATTTTCATACCAGTTGGTTGAATCTGTCGGTTACCAGATAACTGGGATTCTACTGATTGAGAATTTCTGGAAATTGTGACATATATTTGGGCAATTGTACATTTATAAGTTTACGAGCACATAGACTTACTTGCTGTGATCCTGCATTAATGTTACATCATCAGAGGTCATGTGGTCCACCTCCCTGATGACCCCACACTTGGATCAGAGAGGTGACCTGGAAACATTTAGCCATTATGTTGACATCTCCCTGCACTTACTGTAGGACCTCCGAGATCCGGGTGTCAGTACTCGGGGAGTCACACAACACCAGTGCCTTTCAGGGAGGAAAATATCGCTGATGCACAGCTTTAAAATAACACCAACTGGGTTGATGTGTGGCAGGGTTTCCTCTGTGATGTGTCGACTTGCACGTAATATAAAAAGATAAAAAGTTCCAAGAATTAATATTGATAACTTATGATACAGAACTGAACATTTTACTCATAAATTTTCCATGATGTACATGTGTACAAAGCTATGTGTTAGTTGTGAGACGAACTCCCTCAGCCCTGGACAACCTTAAGAGGCTCTGATTGTTCACTATTCTAGCCAAAGAGCTCATGTGGCAACAAATGTTTTATTCATTATTAAACTTTTGTGCTGGACGGTACTTGGTGGGCTCTGCCGTGGGGTTGTTGACATCCCAACGTCTCATTGTTCACTATCTTTGGCCCTTGACCATAAGATGGGATTTCATGCTTCAGCCCATCAGTTATACCAGTCTGTTGCTTCCTATTGTGTCATAGTGGCCATACTGTATTGTATCTCTTATACCAGTCTGTTGCTTCCTATTGTGTTACAGTGGCCATACTGCACTGTACCTCTTATACCAGTCTGTTGCTTCCTATTGTGTCATAGTGGCCATACTGTACTGTACCTCTTATACCAGTCTGTTGCTTCCTATTGTGTCATAGTGGCCATACTGTATTGTATCTCTTATACCAGTCTGTTGCTTCCTATTGTGTCATAGTGGCCATACTGTACTGTACCTCTTATACCAGTCTGTTGCTTCCTATTGTGTCATAGTGGCCATACTGTACTGTACCTCTTATACCAGTCTGTTGCTTCCTATTGTGTCATAGTGGCCATACTGTACTGTACCTCTTATACCAGTCTGCTGCTTCCTATTGTGTCATAGTGGCCATACTGTACTGTACCTCTTATACCAGTCTGCTGCTTCCTATTGTGTCATAGTGGCCATACTGTACTGTACCTCTTATACCAGTCTGTTGCTTCCTATTGTGTTACAGTGGCCATACTGTACTGTACCTCTTATACCAGTCTGTTGCTTCCTATTGTGTCACAGTGGCCATACTGTACTGTACTGTACTTCTTATACCAGTCTGTTACTTCCTATTGTGTCATAGTGGCCTCTTATGCCAGTCTGTTGCTTCCTATCGTGTCACAGTGGGTCATACTGTACTGTACCTCTTAAGCAGACTGGGGTTGGCATAATACATTTCTGACAGTGTCTTGAATAATTTTGGTTTTGGGTTTTAATAATTGAAAAAATTTGGTTTCTTTTTCCAGACCTTTCCTTTCTTTGGAGTAGATGTGGCCTTGTTAGATGATGAAGGTAAAGAAATAAAGGGTGAAGGAGAGGGCTACTTGGTGTTCCGTCGACCCTGGCCTGGCATCATGCGCACGGTGTATGGCAACCACGAACGCTTTGAAACTACATATTTCAAGAAATTCCCTGGTTTCTACTGCACTGGTGATGGTTAGTACAGCATATGTTGTTAATTAACTAGTGTGCCAGGTAAGAGATTTTCCATACGAGATTATAGGTCGTTATTAGGGGCTTTAAAATTTTTTTGGAGCGTGTATATGTAGAAATGGGACCGCAACAATTTCTCAACGTAACGATCCATCATCTCAATACACTTACAGTATATATTTGTTATTCAGAGAAGCAGTGTCCCGATATTTGAACTCTCCAGACTGCTTCTTAAACTACAGTACTCAGTTACAGCAGACTTAAAGCATTAATTATCTTGTACTCTATGCTGTGCAGTGCTCATGTTAGATATCTGTACAACCAATAGTCTCTCTTTCAGGATAATTTGGTCAGTAGGATGGATTATTTGATTGTTCATGTTCTCACTGTTAATGGCATCATGTATAATGTTGTCCTTGTGAGCTGGTGTGTTTTCATACAACAGCATGCACATCCTTCAACACTTCCATATATGGTTTGATACAGTTAATGAGCACTACAGTGACCATGATTGTAGTTGTGCACAATTTGCAATTAATCAGTAGTACTGTATTTATTTGGGCTCTAAGAAAAAATTATGATCTAAAATTTGTCAGCCAAGGCCTAAGTTGGACCATCTTCTGACTCAGTTCTCATCTCAGGGTTGCAGAGGTTAATCCATGTCTCACCAGCCACATGTAAGATAGTTTCTATTGGATCAGTACTGAAAAGCTCCTGCAACCCTGGTGGCCATTGTGTGCACTCAGCTTTCTAAGATGCTCATGGATAATGGTTTCAGTGTCTTTGGTAAAAATGCTGAACTCTTACAAGGTTGACAACCTTGATTTGGTGAGTAAAAATTTTAATACTTTCCACACCGGAGACTGTTTGTGGACCGTCACACCTCAGGCTTATCGAAACCTGGGGTCATCTTCTCTAATGTTTAAACTTCTTCACCATCATGTGAGAGCCTCCCACCCTTGATGCAGTCATATATGTCATGTTTAAACTTCTTCATCATCATGTGACAGCCTCCCACCCTTGATGCAGTCATATATGTCATGTTTAAACTTCTTCACCATCATGTGACAGTGAACTATACAGTGGCAGCCAGCACCATAATGATGCAGCCACAAGTTTACTTTGCAATCTATCTTCTTTATACAAAGATTTGTTCACTGCTTATTGATCAACCCTGACAACTTCATCAGTGAATGACTCAAAAAAAGAACCAAATAACAATAGTGTAGTCATCAATGTCCAGTAACACAACCTTTATATTAGGCATGTGTTGTAGTTATGCAGTTCTCAGTAAAGTGTATGAACTGCATCAGTCATAGTCTACATATATAAGTTACAATTCTTTGTTTGCCCATTACAGTATACAGGTTGTACCTCTCTAGTCTGGCAACCTCGGGACCTGACTGGTGCCGGACCATGGAAATTTCCGGACCATGGAAATTCACCCATAGATAGTGACTTGTGATTACGCTTGGAAGCACTAGCACCACTTTCACTGCTTCGTGGCCTCTTTGAAGACATATTGAAGGGTTAAATGTTGTACAGTAGGTTCTCAAATTTTGAGAGTTTTTAATTTGACGTTTTTTTATTTGAATAAAAAAAAAAACACTACGCAATTTAAAATTTTGACGGCGTAAACTCGAATTTCGACGGGTTTGAGCGGCCCACCAACGTTCAGATGTGCACAAATCGTGTAAACAGTGTCATTTCTCTTTATTTACAAAAGATTCATTATTGTTTATTACTGAATGTCTTTTTGATTTAATTAATTTTTGTGTGCAAAATGAACAATACAATTCATTAATAATACGTAGAATATTAAATCACACGAGGAAATGAGACGGGATTGTTTTTGTTGATTACAAAACCAGTGACTGACTGGATCTACATATAGAATTGAAGAAAATTTGACCCTGGTTGTAGCTGTTGTAAAATTAATGTAAAAAATTAATATGGTTGTTTTAAGTAATGTTATTTAATGTTAATAAATGAAACAATATAAGTAGCTAATCATTAATGGTAAAGAAAAAAGTGAGCTCACATATGTATGAAAGCAACACTAATTTACTGTTCATATCTATTTTAATTAATGTTTCTGAATTTAAAAAAAAAATTCTACCCACCAGTGGTGGTAAAGTTGAAAACATAAGGACAGCCAATGTTGTTGTATGTGTTTTTACTCGGATGACTTATGCTCAACTCTAGCTGAAGCTGTAGAACATAAGAACTTTTCTGTGTTGTTATTAGTTTTTATTTAATTTTATCTGTGTTATTTTCGTTGGTTTATTAGGATGTTGCTTTATTACAGGTAGTAATTCGCCAAAAAAGTAGGGTAAATAAGGCCAAATTTAGCCAAACATCGAAAGTACCAGACTCAAATTAATTTCCATGGGCAAAGTAAAATCGTTCCGGACCATGGGAGTTTCCTGACCACAGAATGCCGGACTAGAGAGGTTCAACCTGTACAGTATATTGAATTGAATTGAAACAGTTTATTTAGCCAGAAAAACACAGATACAGAGTGGATAATAATAACAATATTAACATGGCTGAGCCAGTTAGAACCTGAGCTCTCTTTTAGGCACCTCATATATACTATACATTTATCTCAAGGAAGTATTATGTAACATTTAGTATCATCTGGAATAGTACAATAGCATTGTGGTAATATGAACATCTCATAATGTTACCATGGTTATCACTTCAGTTTTTATTTATTTTATTTATTTATGATTTTTTATTTATTTATTTCATTTATATTATAAGTACTGTACAGTATAGTCTTGATTTACGTGGTCAATTTAACCCGTGGAGGTCCGCGTAAAACGAAAAACACGTAAACAAAATAACAGAACATATGAGATTAATTGAATTAGAGACTGGGCCGACCCCCAGACTACCCTTTTTCCGACACAATACGTACGTTGTAGTAAAAATAGTACCTTAATTTTATGATGGTATGCACACACACATAATATTGAAGAGAAATATCAATAAGAGAATAATATACTGTACCAGGTAAAAGAAAAATCAAGGTTTAACACTTACGTTAGTAGAAGAGATGGGTCGGCATACGGGAATGGCGGCTGGTTCCGAGGCAGAGGGCAGATTAGTGGCCCTCAGGTTAATCACTATCACTATCCACCACAGATGTCAGGGCCTCCCTGACAAACCCCTCAAAGTCACCATCACTGTCACTATCACTGACTTGGGCTGGCTGTGGTTGTGGTGGGTTGCTGGTGAAGAAGTCAGTGATGTTACGCTGACGACTAGCGTTGATGTGGTCGTGATACATCTGGATATACGACTCCATAGATTGCAACAGATTGTTATTGGAGACTTCATATCGGTGATTTACTGGGTCTTTGGACAGGATGAGCTTGAGTCTCTCAGCATACTTGATGGCTTCCTTTACATCACCGAGTGCTAACTTCTATTCTTCTTCTGCCGTACCACCTGCCTCCTCACTGACGTCATCATCTTCCAACATCTCGTCGGCAGTCACCTCAGGTTGCCTGATTACCTCCAGGATGTCGTCGTTGGTGGTCTCGGAGAAGCCTGCAGCTGTAACACTCAGTGCAGCTTCTCTGGTAAGGTCCGCTGCCACAGCAACAGACTGAGCCTCTCCAGCCACCGCTTGACTCTGCCTCCCACCTGGGATACCCTGCAACACATGCCGCCACGCGTGACGAATCGTTGCCACACACAGCTGCCCCCATGCCTCCACCAAGAAATCAACAGCTTTCTTGACGTTAAACATTTTCCAAAACTGTTTAACTCGCACTTCATGCTCCACCAACTCTTCTTGTGGGTCCTCGCTCTCGCTATCTGTGCCACTCAGAAGGTTCCGCAACTCATCCTTGGTGTTGGTGTAGTCGTTCAGGAGCTTAAACTTCTTTGCGGAGAATGCAGCCTTCACGTTGCATGTCAACTCCTGGTCCATGGGCTGGATTAACGACGTAGTGTTGGGAGGAAGGAAGACCACTTTTACACTGGGGTGACGATCCAACAGTAAGGGCGAGTGTCCTGGTGTTTTGTCAAGCAGCAACAAATTGTTAAATGGAACATTATGTTGCTCGCAGAATTTCATAACATCGGGGACGAAACAGTCGTCAAACCAGGAGAGGGACAGACCAGTGAACATCCACGCCTTACGTGCAGTTAGCAAGTGGACATTTAGCTTGGTCATGTCCATGTTCTTGTAGGCGTGCGGCTTGCGGGCTGTGTGGATCACAGACAACACGAGCTTACAGGTGCCGGAGGCATTGGTGGTGAACAGGACGGTGATGCGCTCCTTCTGTAACTTCCAGCCCTGACACTTGCTGGCAGACTTGACAACGAAGGTCTTGGAAGGTAATTTCTTCCAAAACAGCCCGGATTCATCCATGTTGAACACCTGGTCATCGGTGTACTGTCCTTCCTCCATAATTTCTCGTAAGAATGGAGGAAAATCCATCGCCGCAACACGGTCAGCACTGGCTCCTTCACCAACAATGTTAATGTTGGTGATCTTGTTGCATTTCTTAAACCCTTGCAGCAACCCAGAGGTAGCAGTGAAGGGTTTGGGCTCTGCAATTCCCATCATTCGCGCTACTGATTGGTAGAGCTCACGGGCGTAGTCCTGCACTGCCCACGTGTCGACCGCCATGTTCCGTCTTGCCTGACGAATCAAGTAGCTCGCCAATAAATTCTCAGTCTTGAGCAGCACCTTATTCTGACAATACTTCACCATTGAATCACCTGCAGACTTTGTGATGCTCATGTGTTCTTTTATCTTAGCGGCATCCTTCTTGATTGTACGAATCATAGATTCGTTAACTCCATGCTGGCGCGCGAGATCAACTTGTCGGGTTCCCTTTTCTAATTCCTGAACGATTTTGTATTTTACTTAGTAACTCAGGGTGCGTCGTATCTTCTTGGACTTGGGGCGGCTTGGTCCAGGTAATTCAAGGTTTTTCTGGGGTGGTGGGGGTCCAGCGGAAGCCATTGTTGAACAGATTAGC